TAAGCAAAGCGATGCTTTGGGAACGAAGTGATGCAATAATAACGAATTATCTACTCATATATAAATCTTCAATATATGGATACTAATTCACTGAAGAGAGTTGCTTTCTAGGATGAAACGCCGTACAGTCAGGAGTTCAGGGGCACTTCGGAGGAACATATTGCCTCCATCTTCAGGGCTTAAAGTAAGCCACGCAATTAGGAAACAAGACGCAGAAGTAAAATCAGCTTTGCTAGATGTGTGTTGCTTGCTTAGCTCCCTGAAGATGTACGAAGCACGTTCGTCCGAAATATCAGTCAACTTCTACTGGACTATACATCGTGGCATCTGAATGGAGAGCGGTGATCTCAGCCACCGCTGTAAGAGCATCACATCCGCCATTAGCTAACTTTGCCACTGAAGTCAATCCCAGTTTTGTACGTGTATTTTTGATATTATCGGTCAATTTCTGTTTGAAGTACCATCAAAATCATGAAACTGGATAAAATTTGTCTTTTTACTTCTAAGTCCCTGTGATGGCGGTCGTACGAAAATTTGATGATGTGAAAAGGAGCAGAGACCCCAAAGGTAGAACTTGCAGTATTGCCTTCTGTGCATTTCTTTTCGGGTATATCGACCCAATGCGCCAGATCCTGTATTCTTGAGATCATCACAATATAATTTTATTGATGTTTTGTGTATCTATGCTCATTACAGCCGACCACATTGGCCGCGAGGTCTATGGCATGAATCGTATTCGCCCGCTCGAACTCTGGGATCGGGGGTTCGAATACCGCTCAAACCATGGATGTCTGTGAATGTTTATTCTGTGTGTAGGTAGCAGCCTTGCGATGGGCTGATCCACCGTCCAAGAAATCTTACCGACTGCGTATAAATTAAGAAACAGAAAAAGCGGCCAAGGTCCACAAGGGCTGTAGATAATAGATAGATAGATGGGGCTGCGTCAAAGCTCGGGCGGTTATTCGCTGGCTTCCCACCGCGGCGGCCCGGGTTCGATCAAGTGGGATTTGTGGTGCACAAAGTGGCGCTGGGGCAGGTTTTCTCCGAGTACTTCGGTTTCCCCTGCCAATCTTCATTCCACCAATTGCTCCACAATCACCCTCATCTATCATCTGGGGCTGGTGCAATAGGCCAGAAGTGGCCGCAGTACAAGGGACTTAGTCACACCCCACTAGCAATAAAAAAAGAATAATATTAGATAGATAGATAGATCGCTCGATCGATCGATCGATGGATGGATGGAGAGATAGATGCTCGTTAATACAAGTCAGACCAACGAGCATCGATTGATGAGCTCATTAATTAATCGGGAAGAATATGGAGAAGAGCAATCGTGACCTATTTTGGGGTATATTTCCACCATTTTTCTACAAACACTGACGAAGTGCCAGCAAAACTTTAGTCCTGATCAACACTGTCGTCGCTCCCTTCTATCTCGTCACATTCTCCGCGATATACTCATAGCTTTGGGTCTCTCGTGGTCACAGAGATTAGAACGTCTTCCATCCTTGAACGGATATTACTGGCACGTTCTGCAGTTCGTCTGATATCGATAGGGCAGGTTAGGAATTCAGTTTTCAAGCCTTCTGCTTCAAATACTCTAGAATTATTTACACAAATCCTTTAGTCCTGTAATTATATCCGTTATTCTCAGTACTTAAATCTTCAGCACGATTATGATTTGTCATTCTATAACCTGCGACCGCTTTGAGGAGACGCATTTCTGCCCTCTTCTTTTTTTCGTTTGTTCTTTCGTTAACGGTTACTTCTGAAGCCTTATAGACACACGTTTGTGGCCGTTAATCCTTAGAATTTTAGTGCAGTCTGCTTTAGGTACTTCAGTAGTGCGCGCTGTTAATATCTTTGGTTTCATAGTAATATTGCTGAGTGTATGAGCATTTTGCAATCTACTCAATGAAAAATATTTTAATGTTGCAAGTTAAGAACCCCCGTCTATATGCTACATAAAGAATTATATAATTAAGCATTAACAATATATGCAGGCGAATCCCCAGAACTTAAAAACCTATTAAGTTAACTAAATTGTATAATGCGTTATTATACAACGTAAGATAAGCCAAATTGAAATGGGTCCATCTCGACAGGTTAACTTACTTACTTACTTACTTACTCATGCAGCTGAGCACTTCTGGAGGAGCCGCCAATTCTGCAGCTACTCAAGAATTTCCCAGCATTTTATGGAACCCGAAAGTTTATTACCGTGTTCACAAAAGCACTCCACTGGTCCCTACCCTGAGTCAAATCGATCCAGTCCATACCACCCCATCCTATCTCTCAAAGATCAATTTTAATATTGTCCACCCACCTACGCCTTGGTCTTCCTAGTGGTCTCTTTCCTTCTGGCTTTCCCACCAATATGATATATGCATTACTCTTTTCACCCATTCGTGCTACATGCCCTGCCCACCTCATCCTCCTTGACGTGTTCATTCTAATTATACTTGGAGAAGAGTACAAGTTATGAAGCTCCTCATTATGCAGTTTTCTCCAACCTCCTGTCACTTCATCCCTCTTCTGTCGTAATGTTCTCCTCAGCACCCTGTTCTCAAACATGCTCAGTCTATGTTCCTCCCTTATGTCAGAGCTCAGGTTTTGCACCCATACAGAACCACAGGCAAAGTCGTAGTTTTTTATATTCTAATATTTATGTTTCTGGGCAGTGGTCAAGAACTGAATGGTGGCAATCATTACTCGAACCCAGATTCCTCCTGAATCAAGTTATTGTCCCTTTATTGTCTTGGAGGAAGTGATAAGGGCAGCCTAGTGTGTATAATAGTGATTTGTGAAGTGTGCAGAAGAGTGAGAGCATAATTCTCACTTCCAGTTACTAGTTGTAGGAGTTCAATAAATTCGATTGTCAATCCCAAACCCCGTCTGTAGCCACTGAAACATGTCCACGGACACGGCAAGATGAGTATATTCTTCTGCGGGAGATCGTTTATATACAGAGTGTACAATACCGGTGAAAGTTTGGAGCGTTGAGGCACCACAACCTCTATTTCACTACCTATCTATCTATGGCTCTACACCCTTCTGTTGGGCTTCGGCAGCTTTTTTCAGTTTCTTGATCTTTTACACAGTCGACAGAACTCCTTGGATGGGCCATCAGCCAGTCACAAGGCCGATATCTGCACATAAGACAGTACAAACACAGAATAAACGCATACAGTCATCCATTCCTCCAGTGGGATTCGAACTGTCGATCCCAGCGTCTGAGATGGCGAAGACAGTTTATGTCTTAGATTGACCGGCCGCTGCGATCTGCAGGTATTTCTTTGCCCATAGAAAATTCGGCTTCGATTTATCCAACGCTTATAGACACAACTCGTTGCTACAAGTAATTATGAGGCCATCGCGAATCCCCACACTCTACAAATCACTATAGCATACGCTAAGCCTTCTCAGTCTGCTTTCTCTAGCCGTTCTCTGGTAACGGATCTTAACAATGTAGATTTTTCAGCTTCTGTGCCCACGTCTCTGCCCGCTCGCTAATACGACTCACAACTCACAGCTGATCGCTTCAGAGTGAGAGTCACTTTGTGACTGGCGGTTTACAGCCAATGAGTTCGTCTTGATGACAAGCCCCTTAATACTCACGACCAGCAAATTTCTTTCAACTGAACACGTGCGATCATAGTCCTTATGCAACATCCTCTCTGACGAGAAGATGGATCCGTCGTTTAAAATTGCTGCTGACCCTCGCCAGCGCAGTCATTCTCAGGTCCGAGTCTCTGACGACTCATGACCATATTTTACTGACCCGGATACGAGATTTCTCCTACCTGGCGACCCAGGTCCCCGTATTTATATCCCTTAGGAACAAGGTAGCCCAATTATACAATGAGGTCTGAACTCAGAATGAAAGTTAACGTTGTGTTACGACCTACGCTCAGTCGGCCAGTCTGTCTTGGTGTCAAACACCCATTTGGGACTGAAGACCAGACTTTTCTGCCTGATGTGGGGCGCCTTCTCTGACGAGAGGATGGGTTTGTCTTTTACAGTGTACAACGTACAATATATATTTACATGTTACATGCTAATGATATTAACGTATATATCATATATACAGGGCTTCTGTCAGTCCAGGCCCTATTTCTAGTAGCTTCCTCCTATGAATTATAGCGATCATTTTGCTTCATGTGACTGAAGATAGTGTTTGTAACGGCCACTATTTTTCCTTCTCTGAAACAGCACCTTTCAATTCTATCATAAACCGCTGTACTACAGTTACTATTCTCAACAAATTGTCGAGAGCAAACTGTTCACATTTTGAGCCCCAACTGACTGACCTGTTGCCTCCTGTTCGTGTTGGTGTAAGGGCACAGGGACCCTCGGTTTCATTGTGGTTGTACCTGCTACTTCCACCTGGTGTGTCTGAGGCCGCCGCTTCTGCTCTGGCCTGCCTCGGAGCGCCGCGCAGGACACGCCTGCAATGGTGAGATTAGAAGAGAACACCCTTACCGTTATAGTCTTGGGTGTTCTCTGTGGATTCCTTTCCTGCAGCTCCTTCACATATCTGCAGCCCCGATAATTTGAGGGATGGGCTTTCTCTCCCTTCGCCAACCGACAGCTGCAACATGTTGGGATGGAAGATATTGTCGCATGTCGTGAATCCGGAAGAGATACTTCCATGGAAACGCAATAACGGGCCGTTTCATAAGAACTACCGAAACAACAAACGCGTTTCCCCAGAGATGAAAGGACAACAGACGTTTTGTTGCGTAACAACGGATGAAACCAAACACTTCTACAAGGTGTTCTGTATTTCCTAAGCAACGGATTGTCCGTTGCACAACAACGGATGAAATTAACCATTCGATGAGGCATTTCCTTATCCTGTCTGAACGCTGATTGTATTAGAGAGTGCAGCTCCGGCCAGAATTCAACATCACAAGTACCACAAGAGATTCCAACTGAAATCACAGTTAGTAAATCACAGAAGAGATTCTGAGTTTCGTAATCACAGTTTCGGATTCGATTCTAGCGAGATAAAAGCAGGTTTGTGCTCAGACTTCGCAGAAGAGTCCCAGAGTGTACTAACGGTGTAATAGCGCTCCTGTCAATAATATGACCACGTGGCAGCAAAATCCACCACCACCAGGCTTCTACCCAGGACACGAAGATCAACAAGGTTACGACGGATGTCAGCCGGGATGTCATACACAGCCACATTACCCCACAGGACAAAACCAGGGATGCTTTCATCCATATATTCCCTCTCCAGAGATTGTAGCTCAACCACCGACAGCTTCTCAGGACGAACAGGTTCCATTGGGCACCACAAACCAGGAAACCAAGTTTGGAACATCGTATGTTCAGGATGATCCAGTCACAGGAAGGGTTGAGAACTTCGAGTTCTCTGACAAGAGCATCCGACGCGGGTTCATAAGGAAAGTGTATGCAATTCTAATGGTGCAGCTGTTGATCACAGTGACATTCATTGCGTGGTTCACATACCACGAGCCCACCAAACACTACGTACAACAATACATGGGCATCTTCTGGGGAGCACTTTCAGTGTCGGTGGTATGTTTTTTCACAATGATCTGCTTTGTCGATGTACGACGTAAGGCACCTATGAACTTCATCTTCTTGTTTCTGTTTACGTTGGCTGAAGGGGTTATGCTCGGTGTCGCGGCATCTACATTTGATACTGATGCGGTCCTGATGGCTGTTGGTCTGTGTGCCGCAGTTTGTTTCGGTCTGACCATTTTCGCAATGCAGACGAAGTGGGACTTCACAGTAATGGGCGGTGGTCTGTTCGTTGCCCTCATTATTCTGATTATCTTTGGTATTGTGGCAATCTTCATCCCTGGAAAGATAATGAACTTGATCTATGCTTCATGCGGGGCACTGCTATTCTCTCTGTATCTCATATATGATACACAACTCATGATTGGTGGGGAACACAAGTATTCTATCTCACCAGAAGAATATATTTTTGCTGCTCTGAGCCTCTATCTAGACATTGTCAATATTTTTCTGTATATACTCAGAATCATTGGAGCATCCCGAGAGTAGTGTGTTCTTCCGACTTCGTTTTGTACTCGTACTTCTAGCTAACTTGGCACTGTAGCGCATTATACAGTCACGTCAAAACATGAGATTTTGTGGGAGATTCGCTTGATGTCTTTTATAAAATCCGTGGCACTTCAATATTCTAAATATCAACTTAACTTTAGTAACAAGGGATGTTGCAATGAGTTGGGTGTAGTATGTTATGATAGTAATTATGTTTAAAATCTTTCAAAACATATAGAATTGTCGTGTTCATTTAGTTGAACGTTTAATGTAACTGAAGTTCCATAGGTCGTCTGTGTAATTCTGTATGCTTAACACATAAAGGATAAAGATTATCCACTGGAAAATATTATTACGTGATTTATTTAGCTTGGTCTATAAAAGAAAGTGAGGGGTAAATGTGAGATCACGAGTACCACGGAGCTGCTCGGGACGAGCACCCTTGAAGAAAAGGGGCGGAGGTAGCGCTCGGAAGATGAACACCTTGGGAAATGAAACAAGGGGAAATTCCGTTAGGCTGTTCGGGACGAACAACCTTTAAAGGGGGGTAATGTAACGTTCATATCCAAATCGTTACTTCCTATGAAACGATCCACGTTCCCGCTACAACGCTACAATTGCAATGCACCCATTCTTAGACAACGGAAGCAAAGAAATATCATAATTCTAACAATGAGTCTCCACTGTTAGAACGAACTGTTAGAAGTATTGCGTGACAACGGGAAAACTGAATTGATTGTATCTGGTATCCGGTCCGAACAACTCCTATATAAGGGGCCTGAACGTAGGGCAGATACACCTGTGTGAAGGCGGGGTTGAATACTTCCGCCGCGACTCTGCAAGTCATAGGAGGCGACGAAAAAGGAAGTCTCAAATCTAAGAGAGTAAAATATGGTCGCGAGTACCAAGGGAATCGGACCTGAGAAAGACTGCGCTGCCAAAGACCAGCAGCATATACAAAAGACAAGCCTGTTCTCTCGTCAGAGAGGGCGCCCCACAGGGCCAAGACCGTAACTTACAAAGTGTAATAAATATCTGGTCATGAGCTCCAGATGAGGCTCGGAACCAAGACTTACTGACTGACCGACTGACTGTCAGTCACAATGTGACTTGGACTTGGAGATATTCCAAAGTTGAATAGACACGTGTGGAAGCGTAAACCAGCCACAGTTGAAATATAGCCGCCGCAGAAGCCAAGGTTGGAAGACAGAGTCTAGAATTCGCCGAATTAGTTGGATCAAGTGAGTGGAATCGCAGAAGCAGTAAAAGCGATAATAATTGTACTTGAGTGTGTAAAAGTGAGCGTTCATTAAATATTCGCTAAATCCGAGACCGACATGAAGTTATTTGTGGCGCTGCATAGGCAACACACGACAATAGTATATTCCCTTTCTTGGGGCATTCCTTGCGCAGGTGACCGCCCCTGCACCACAATAAACAGGGAGGTTGCTTGCAGTTTTCCCAAAGTGGCCTAACTTTCGGCAGTCATGGCATTACGTAAGCCCATTCTGAGTTTTACAGGCCCCTACCCTGATTTCGATTCGACAAAGATTTGGTAGTCTGAAAATTTCTTGGGATTTTGCTGTCCTAGGCAAAGATATGAGGAACAGGGAGATGCTTGTGGTTGCTGATCCCTCGGGAGGTGACCATCGTGTGACTGTCGGCTGCTTGACACTAAAAACGTGAAACCGAGGCTCACCAGTCCGTCAGATGTGTCTTCTGCTGGAGTCTTAAGAGTGAGGTGGAGTATCACGGCCTTTACGGGCTTTAGGGATTTGAGGTAAAAAGTGAAATACGCAAGGTTATTGTTTCCTGTGTAGAATTTGACTGCTGAAAAATCTTCCACGGTTTTTGTGATTGCTCTGGTTCCGTTTCTGGTGCTACAGAACACAAACTTGTCTCTTACCACTCTTTCAGTTGCTTTTTCAACTGAATCAGGTTAGTTGCGGAGGTTAGCACTATTGGGGGGCGGCAAACCTGTTTTTCCAGACATGGCCTTGGTATCGGAGGCGTCCATTTCTATTGCTCTGAGGGGGATGAATAAATTTAGGCAGACGACATCCATATGGGAGGTATTTAAGGCGGCAGACGTTTTGGCCTGTACTGCTTGGTTCTTTGAAGTTTGATTTTCCTCTTCTGTAATGCACTGCTTTCACTTACGAACTTCTTTGAACCCTTCTTCCTAGGTTATTTGTTCCTGTGTGCCTTTTGATGATTTAGTCTGGCCTTCTGGGGTTCTTGCCTTAAATAAGACCTTTAACTCGTTAAGTGTAACAGTGTGTGCTGAGGCCTGAACTGTTCAACTTTCCTGATTATATCATCTCAACACATACCGCATAGAACACATACTTTCCAACAGTTCCTCTGTTGTTGCGTGTGGATTGGTTGTCGTGGGAATATATTTGTTTGCGAAGGCGTTACCCACTAACGGATGCGTAAATTTGTTTATTACGTGGTCGTTGCCTAGCAACGGGCTACATGTTACAATATACATGTGTGTAAATACATACATACAAAGGCACACATATACACATGTTGCTCCTTTTTTGTGTATACATTCCATTACTACGGATTCCTACTACGTTAAAATCAAAGCCTCTAGCCGTCGCTATTATTGCAAGTGTTAGTACACTCATACAGTCTATACCGATGGGATTTGTAAGAACGTTTAAGACTGTGTCGACACAAAATACTGCATGCCTTGCTCTAAAATTTCATCACTCATCGCCAGTGAATTAATAGCTAAATATAGCCTACATTTCGTTCTTGAGACTACTTGTGTTACATCCCTCAAAACATTTCCCGAATGAATATTCCCTACTCTAGAAACCTATGCGGCATTTAATGTTACAGAGTACCCAACATACGTAGATAGATGGTACGTAATGGAGTGTGGCGTGATGTTCATATGTACCGCCTGCTCTAACATTAAACTTTGGACTCCAGCAAGGAGGACAAACTTGGCGCCTCCTCCCATTGAATCTCAAAAAGAGTAAGAAACATAAAATGAGGAAAGAAAGAAATGTTCTCAGTATTAATAAAAAGAGGAGTATTTCTTTTTTAAATCATGAAAAATTATCTTAGACCTCTCAAATCTAAGCTGTAAGCATATTCTCTGGCTTACTGAATCCAAAACTATGAAAAACTGGTTGCCGCCCCATGGAGAAAAATCATTCCGGCGCCCAAAATTAAAACACTGCGCGATTTGCCTACATAATATATATATGAATTTCATATGATAATCAGTTGTTATTTATTTCCCAATAAATTGCATTAACCAAACAGTCCTTGTATTGAAGAAGAAGCTTGTTTTCTGTGAAGCAGAAGCTGAATTTTTAAATATTGCTTAAAAGTAGGAACTTCAAGGCTATTCGTTCTTTTCTTCGGCCAAAGAGCCAACGTTGAATTGGAATACAATTTGACTTGCTCTGTGTGATTTACATTCAGCCTGACCGGATGTTAACATCAAAATTTCGCCCTAATGTACATCTACAAATATTAAATTCAAATTTCACCCCAATTCATTCCGAAGAACCTTAATACAAAATTTTGTTCGGTCGCCAGGAAAGACTATGCTCAGGTTCCTTCCTCGTCTTATTACAAAGACCACTTCCGATCGCTATGCCTTCACTTCCCAACACTTTACCTTCTCTCGAACATATCTATAACAGAAAGAACTGGCAGCTGGGAAACTTCAAAGCAGGTAATTTTTCTGTTTCTCCCCTCTCACCACTCTTCAATCCACTTTCTCTTCTCACGCTTTCTCTTTATCTATTCCCCTTCCTTTCTACTTAATCATGGAGGCGGAGACTAAGAGCAAGATTCGGAATAATTGACACTTGCTCATTCTTCCTCACTCCAGCACAGAATTTCATTATCTCAATGATTTCTTGTCACTGTGTCCTGTGTAACGACTCCAGGTAGCTATAGCGTCACCATCATGTTAACACTTCTTTGCTGTTTTACATAATGCCCTTCAATTTGAACTGTTATGTTCTGTCTTGTTATATAATTTAAATATGACAGTAGTTTGCTTGAACACAAGAGAAGGATTAGTTACAAAAATGTAAATTAGTGTATTTATGGGATATATAACGATTTCGATATAGCCGTCTGTGCTCCATCGGAATACAGAAGAATTAGAAAGCTCAGATAATATTTCGTGAAGCACTCACTAAAATTCCTGGTACTCATTTCTGTTAAAGGCTGGGTCGACCCCAGGGCTATAGTGCGGCTGGAAGGATTAGGTAAATTGAAAAAATCCACCTAATCGGGATTCGATCCCGCGACCTTCCGGCTTGTAACATAGTGCCTCAACCAACTACGCTACCGCGTGCCCCATACCAGGAATATTCTTGAGGATAAAGGGAGGCCGGCGCGTAAGGCTGACAACCTCACAGCCATTTATGAGGCGATTGTCTAGAAAATTAGGGAACCTAGACGTTTCGCAACCCTATGGGTCTCCACGGCCTTTTAGAGGGATACCTTTACTTTTTACTCACTAAAATACAACACACTTTCCTCGTTAAGAGTTCTGTTACGTCACTGTGTTCAAAGTAAGCCTTGGTTTTAACAAGACTGGATAGAGAGCGCTATATGCTGTAGTAAAAAAATACCATCGGCGTTCTTTGAATTTTATTAAGCTTACACAACAATGGAAATAATGAAATACAAATTAGTGAGAGTCACCAATATCGAGTTCTAAGAATTTCCGAAACGCGTTATGCTATAGCTGGAAAATTAAATTTATAACCTTGTGCTAACTAGGCTTTTAATGGATAAATGTAGCTGAAAATAGGACTTACCGAACTTTAAGTCACTCATGTTCAATTTCGACGAAATCTTTGAAACAGCTAATGGGCTATATGAGAAATCCACTTATGGCCCTGTTATTAATAAATGAGTCTGAAAAGAGGAATTTACTCACGGCTTAGACGCCGGTACTGGGTCATAGAGAGAGAGAAAGAAGAGAAGGACACACGTAACATCCATAGAAGCAAATTGTTTTATTTTGTAAAGAATCCCTGCAATGAGCAATTCATATTATGGAATGTAGGCTCGTTGCTAGTCAACGACCAAGAAATAAGGAGCTATACAACAACCGCTGCTAGGAATTTGCTCTATAAACGGCGGCGGTTACTAGGTAATGGCTGCAACACACTCACAATAGAAGGGCTGAGGGAAACTGTGTTCTCTGTGCGGTCCGATCCGAGGCT